TCCTAACCTCCTCTCAGCCCTTACTTAGCTCTTAGACTATTCCTCTGATAATGGATGGAAAGGATGTGGTGGCTATGGCAAGGACTGGCTCTGGGAAGACGGCAGCTTTTCTGATTCCGCTCTTTGAAAGACTCAAATCACACTCGCCACAGGTAAGAAAGAAAAGAAAGTAATAAAGATATAAAGATTGTAATATTTAATTGTTAGGTGTCTGGTGTAAGGGGTCTGATATTATCCCCTACAAGGGAACTGGCTCTGCAGACAATGAAATTCACAAAAGAAGTGCATTAATTATTACAATAATATTAATTACCGTATAGCTTGAAATTTTCGTGGAATGTAAATTTTGTGATTTTCGTGGTTATGGGCTTTCCACGAAATTTAAACCCACGAAATCATTGAAGTACCATCCCCTTACAGGCTATGTAAACTGTCAACCACGAAAATTAAACCACGAATTGCCCCACTAGGAGCAAACCACGAAAATATCGACCCACGAAAATATCAAGCTATACAGTAATTTTTTTAGCTTGGGCGTTTTACTGGATTGAGAGCAGCTGTAATATTAGGAGGAGACAGGTAATTTTATTATTATGTATAATTCATACACCTAACATGTTAATTATTAATGTTTTTATGTGTTTAGGATTGAAGATCAATTTTCTACAATGCATGAAAATCCTGACATGTAAGATATCATAGTGGGGAAGAGAAAAGGAGTTTTGCATTCACAATTAATTACAATAATTATGTACATTTCTCATAATTAAAAATAAATAATAATTATTATTCTTTTTATTCTCTTAGTATAATAGCAACTCCTGGAAGGTTCCTGCACTTGCTGCTGGAGATGGACATGAAGTTGCTTCACGTTGAGTATGTTGTGTTTGATGAAGCTGACAGATTATTTGAAATGGGATTCAGCGAGCAGCTCCATGAGATTATACACAAACTACCAGAACAAAGGTACTTGTACATGCATGTACATTTACATTACATGCAGCCAGAGTCCTATATCACTCTTAGCCTCTTTCACTAATACCTTTGTTATATGTATGTGAATGTGATGTACATTAATGCCCAATGGATGTACCGTATAGCGCTTTAATTTTGTGGAGCTAAAATTTTGCGGATTGATAAAAATCAATTTTTTTTGCGGAAATAATTTTTGCAGATTCGCAATGTTAGTGCCACACCTTTAATTGCAATTGAAATTTTTGCGGATCTTTAATTTTGCGGTTTCATGCTAACTGCGAAAATAGTGAAAGTTTAGCTCCTCGAAAATAAAGCGCTATACGGTATGAGCTCATACTCTTTGTTTATCAAATTCTGGTTGATGGCCTTTACTCGCTTACTTTTATTATTTTTTTATCTTTATTCTTTTAGGCAGACACTTTTGTTTTCAGCAACACTCCCAAAGATGTTAGTTGACTTTGCTAAAGCAGGTAGGTAGTCCAATACACGCGTACATTTTAATTTTAAAATGTTTCAGGTTTAACTGATCCAGTCCTTATCCGACTTGATGTTGACTCTAAACTGAGTAACCAACTCTCGCTATCTTTCCTTAGTTGTAGATCTGATGATAAAACTGGTCAGTTTTCACGCCATTACTGTATTTTTATCTTTAATTATACATCTGAACATGTAATATACATGTTCATGTATGGTGCTAGTTAAGTACAACATCTCCATTGGCTTTCACTTGGGGCCATTACAAAACTAAACCTCATTTTTTTATTGGGTACACACTTAAAATTAAATTTGCTGTACTAGATGGTTCTATTAATTTGATGTGAATGTGAAATGAATTTTATTGTAGTGCATTTTATAATAATCGTCTCATATTTTGTAGCTGTTCTTCTTTATTTGTTGCGTTCAGTGATACCCCCTAATCAACAGTCGGTCATATTTGTAGCCACTAAACATCACGTGGAGTATCTCAAGGAAATACTGTCCAGTGCTGGGATTGACTCCTCTTATGTGTATGGATCATTGGATCAGACTGGTAGGAGAGGAGGGGTAGAGAGAGAGAATTAGAGGAGTAGAAGAGAAGGAAAGAGGGGAGAGAAAGGGGAAGAGAAGGGATAAAGGTTATATTGTGTTTTTGTAGCTCGAAAGATTTCAATTGGTAAATTTCTTTACAAGAAGACAAATGTCCTACTGGTTACTGATATTGCTGTAAGCTGTTTTTCTTTACTGCTAAAGTTGTTCCTTTCCCCCCCCCCCTCTCTCTCTCTCTCAGGCTCGTGGTATAGACATTCCACTCTTAGATAATGTCATCAATTATCATTTTCCTTCAAAGGCAAAGCTGTTTGTACACAGAGTTGGTAAGAAACACAAACAAAACATGCATAGAGAGAGAGAGAGAGAATGAGAGAATCATTGTTAATAGTTTCTGATAATAAATTGGGTTATGACATCACAGGAAGTAAATTTAATAATTTGGACCCATGATGATATGACAACATTTATACCATTTATAACAACCATTCTTTAGTAGGCAATATATAGTTTAGCTTTATAAGTTACAACTTTTTGGATGGGCATTGGCCCTGTATTATGTTTTACTATAAAAAAAACAGTGACTACTATTGTTTGCAATGCTTGCAATAGTCTTGATTAGCAATGTTTCCTATGGAATGTGGAGCATGTTGCTTACTCCAGAGAATCGTGAGAATGCTAAATCTTGAAGCAACACACGATTGAATCAGTGGAGCTTTGCAGTTAAACAAGAAGGTGCACTATAAAATCATTCACGCAACGTCATGAAATCGCTTCCGTCGATCACAGTATAAAAGGAGGTGCCCTGGGCACAATATGGCGGCCAGATTGAATGAAATTTGAAAATAACAAAATGGCTCCCGCACTGGCACTGTTCTTATCATGGCTAAATCACTAGCAAAACGCATTATAAAAACATTAAAATTAGCAAAGGTGAGAGAGTTAACCTACAAGTACACCTAGAAAGCATAGCAAGGAGAGAAATGGTATAATTGACTTGAAGTAATAATTTTACATTATTATATTGTATATTCTGAAAAATCTGCCAACAGCCTAAGAAACACGGCCAATGATGCTGTCAGGCAGGTAATAAGTGATAGTGGCAAGGGAATAGCCCTCACTACTACACAGAAAACCAGCCCAAGAACTGCCACCACTGGGACCAGACAGCCCTGCCGACTACCATATATCAGCCACCATCATCAAGTATAAGTGGTTCCAGCAAAAGACCCCAACATGGTCCTCATTCAGATCCTAGTACTGGTAGCAGTTGTAACATTCAACGATCTACTGGAAGAAGTAAATACAAAAATATTATTCTAAATTTTTAAAAATATAAACATTATGTATATAGGGTTGAATAGATATTGGGATGGTGAGGAGCCTCCTGTATCTGTGTACCTCTTCCCAACTGTGCCCAGTGATGCCGACAAAAATATGGCAGTACTGTGATGGTAATATACCAGTACAAGAAAAATGCTAGTAAGAGCCTAAAAATATTAATGCCACCATATGATTACTTTACATTACAAATAATACTTACTTCTGTATCTAGTAACTAATAAACTTGAGTTACGATTACAGGACTCACAACTGGGATTTAATCGAAATTCAGCACAAATCACATGATGATCTAAAATTATGAATAGTTTTGATGATGTTGATAATAATAGTAATAATAATAATAATACTAACAAAGAATACCTGTCTGTAACTGATCATCCTTCGGTCAACCATACCACACTAACATTAATGTATGTTTCCCAACAGCCGATCCTATCTATGCACAAAATGGCTGCTCTTCATCCGGGCCCATCACCCATACCTTATTTATATATAATCACTAATTTAAACACATTATAACTACCTGAAGTATTGAGCATAGCAGAAGAACTACTAGTATCATGTGATAGAGCCTCAGAATGATTCTCTTTTTAAACTAAATCGGCGAGTAAATGAGACAGCAGTTCCAGCGCCTTCTTTTAGTGCCTAAAGACCCCTTAACTCGATCAAGCCTAACTAGAACTGGTCCTTGTCTTCTTTGAGAGTAAAATGGAAGTCCATTTGGTACCAAAACCCCTTTCTTCCTGCGTTTTTCCTTGAAGAAGCAACACCATCTAGAGCCGACATTTTTACACGTGAATAAAACGGAAGCCACCATGCCCAGGGCCCCGCCTTTTATACCGCACCTTCTCGTTTAACAGCAAAAGACCAACAGAAATGGTGGAAGCAAATGATGGAATGATAATCTTTGAATAATGTATTACATGTATATTATTGTTTATTCATTTGCATGATAGTTTTATTCCATTACAGGTAGGGTGGCTAGGGCAGGGAGAACAGGTACAGCCTATTCTCTAGTGTCTCCTGATGAAGGAGCTTATGTTGTTGACCTTCACTTGTTCCTGGGAAGAAATATAATCACTGAGAGCCGTGCCAGTAAAGAGAGAGGGAGGGGGAGGGAGGGAGGGAGAGAGAGGGAGGGAGGGAGAGAGAGAGAGAGATTAAGAAGTGGGACTGATTCTTTTTATAGGTTCTTCTTTTATTTGTGTGTGATTGAGTGGGAGAGGTAGGGAGAGGTGGTTGAAGGGATGCAGTATTTTAATTTTTTGTTGTTATTATAATTGTATAGAGTGTGATGGTGTGTATGGGTCTGTTCCCCATATTGCTATTGAAGATGAAGATGAGCTCTTGATTAAACTTCACAACAATAATGAAGAACTGGTAACTAACTAATGATCATCGACATGTACATTGTACTCCTTTCCCCCTCTCTTTCTTTTCTCATTCTCTGCCATTTTTCTCCTCTCTTCCTTTCTCTTCCTCTTCTGTAGGTTTCTCTTAGAAAAGTTGCTGAGAATGGTATGAAGCATTACATCAAGTCTCGTAATCTCTCATCTCCGGAGTCAATCCGAAGAGCAAAAGAACTCGCTAACTCACTCCATCCCCACCCACTCTTTGGTAATTAAATAGGAGGCGTGGTAATTAATGGGTGTGGCTTTTTAAACGTAGGGAGTCATTGCTTGACTGCTCAAGTGGAGAGAGGAGAATTGCTAAGTGCATTGAAGACTTACAAACCATCACAAGTGAATATTACATGTGATTTATTATTATTTTTTACTATTATGTTGTAATTGTTTTAATTATAAAGACATTGATATTCTGACTTAATTTTCAGACGATATTTGAAGTCAATTCAACCACAAAGGGCGTGGCTAAGAAAGTGATGCTCTCGAAGAGGTATGGGATGGGTATGGAAATCTAAGATTGAGAGTTTGAGGTACTGTAAATGCAGGGCCAAGTATGATCAAGTGGTGATGACACTTAGAGAGAAATCAAATCAAAGGAAGAAAGAAGAAGAGAAGGAGGAGGAGAGAGAGAAAGGGGAGGAGAGAAGGGACAGTGAGTCAATGGCTGATGATTTAAAAGGATT